CAATAAACCCAGCTTCCACATGCTTTTCATCTAAATCTAACCCAATACTTTAACAGTTAAACCTAATGTCTCCTCAAAATGAGTACATTTTTAAAACGGTAATTATCATACGTCAAATTTTTCATTTTTAGCGGGAGGAGTGTATTAAAAACGTTTACGGAAGACCAAAGATGATTAAAATCAGAGCAAATGTCACAAACTCTGCCAAAAACACTCAAAACGAATCTTTTAACCAGTAGATTGTCATAGGTCAAAATTTTATATCAAAATAATTAGATTGAATTTGTTTAATCTGGATTTAAGTACAATATATTTTGTATCATGACTTTAAAATTATGAAAATTACATAGAGAAGTTTTTTCTTGTAGTTTGCTAATGATTTGGTTTTATGATGGATATGATATTTTTAGCATGATTTTCTCGTAAATCTGTTTTATCTTGGCTATTCCTCACGCCATTATAGTAGTAGTATAATAATTAAGACTGTTGTGCCAAAATCTATAAATGTATCATACGTTATGATCGACGAATATAACCGAATCCTTCAAAACTATTAATTAATATAAGCAATGATCTTACAAGACTATAAAGGGTAAAGTTCGTAAAGTAATGTCACGAGGCTAGAGAAAAAAAAGTAGGATATATAAATAATATTATAAGCATTATAAACATCAGTCATGCTTATTCATTATTATGTCTTATAAAAATACATAGTATATACTATGTACTGATCATGCCTGTCCCCATAACACATGCCAACAAAGTAAAAAAAAAAAAACACAATCAATCTCTTTCTCTCTCTTTTCTTGATCACTTCTCTCTGAAAAACCCTAAAACCTTAATTCATCTCAGAATCCTCACATGGGATCTATACCATACATCTTCATCATCCTTCTCTTTCATTTACAAAAATCCAAATCTCAGACGATCCAATCAGCACATCTTCTTGATCTTATGATTAGAGATTACACTATCAGAAATTTCAACATACATTTCAAGACAGGTACAATCCAGAAAATCCATCTTCCTTCAAATTTCTCTTCCATTGATATCGACACGGCTAAGTTTAGATGCGGGAGTTTGAGAAGATACGGTGCAAGAATTGGAGAGTTTCACTTTGGTCCGGGCTTGACTGTGGAGCCATGTGTTGAGAGAGTGATTCTGGTGAGACAGAACTTGGGTTTTAACTGGTCCTCTTCTATTTACTCAACCGGTTATAACTTAACCGGTTACAATTACCAGCTCGTATCACCGGTTCTCGGTTTATTAGCTTACAATTCTAACCCGGACGGTGTGTCACCGAACCCTTATGAGGTTAACGTAATGGGCACGGAACAAAACCCTATTTTGATCGATTTCTTGAGCGGCAAGGCAAGTGGTAACCCTAGGATGAAAAATTCATCCTTCTTGTGTGCTTGCTTCACAAGTAACGGTAACATAACGTTTAGGGAGCAAGTTTCAGCCTATGTTTGCTTGGGAACAAGACAAGGGCATTACGCGCTCGTGATTAGAGCTCACGACAGTGGTGTTGGGGTTGTTACGCAGCCGTCGTCTCCGCCGGTGAATGACGGCAGAAGTGGGAGATTAAGCCGGTGGAAAGTGGCGGTTGGGAGTGTAATTGGGTCAGTGATTGGAGCGCTTCTGCTAGGGTTATTGGTGGTGGCGATGTTAGTGAAAGGGAAGAAGAAAGCAATGAGAGAGGAGATGGAGAGGAGAGCTTATGAAGAAGAAGCACTTCAGGTTTCAATGGTGGGTCATGTTAGGGCAAATCCTAATGCTTCAAGAACAAGAACGGTTCCAAGATTTGATAATGATAGGTATAGTAACAAGTAACAACAATCTTAATTACTACTTAGATCATCCTTCTTGACGATCTTAATTTGTTTTCCATTTATTTAGAATTAATTGAGTTTGGTTTTTCTCTTTATATGTTGGATTGTAACTTGTTTCATTGTTTAGGAGAGACTTACTGTGTGGAATTAACAGTTTACATAATGAGTAACTGGAAATATTATTACTTTCGCTTCTTTTTGGGTTAGTTTGTTAATCTTAGAGCATCTTACATTTTTATCACATTTTTTCTTTGTCGTATAACATTTAATTATCACCATATTTGTGAATTTTCTTCTAATATTTTGGAGAATCATGCATCTGTTTAAGAAACATTTGTGAGTAACGTTCAATTAAAATCTCCCACTTTTTAATACTTTTAATTTATTTTTCTAAGAGTTGTAATCACAGTCCATTGCAATATGTAAGACTTCTGTTAAGGAATTAAAAAATCTAATGACATGATTGAATTTTAAAACCAATAAGACATTGATGCAGTTTACCATCCGACGTCCGCTAGGTGTTTTACATATTAATTTTGTTTTTTAGTTGAAATCATAAACCTAAATATTTTCCTTTGATCACTGCACAATTTATACTCACACACATGCATATTTTTATAATTATTTTGAGTTCCATTGAGAAATCATTTCTTATTTCCATTGTATATACAAAAGATTTTGAAATCTATGATTCCTAGTAATGTGTCACAAAATGATCTTTACTATTAAAAAAAAAAGTACCAAAATAGGAGGATTACATTGTGACAAAATAAAAAATAAAAGGAAGAATACTTATTGGGCCGAAAGAGGCTTAAAATATCCAGCCCAATCACACGATTACAAAATCAACCCTATACCCTACCACACCTGATCACACCCTTATTTTCGCACCATTTTCTGTTTCCCCTAAAGAATTTCCCGGG